CGGGAAGATCGGACGTGATCTGACTATTTACAGCGCAGTGTTCATGTACAGCAGCAATATGTGCTACATTACAGTCATGCAGTACGCGATAGGATCGCACGTAGACGAAAACAATCGTACGATCAGAATGCTGGTGTATCCTACATACAGTGGGCTTTTCGATGTTCAGAGAACTCCCATCTACGAGATCGTGTACGTCCTTCAATGTATGTGCACGTTTATGCTCAACACCGTGACTGCTAGTTGTTGCGGATTGGCTGCGCTTTTTGCAACGCATGCCTGCGGACAGATCGACGTCATTATGTCACAGTTGAACGACCTGGCCGATGAAAGATTCTACAAGAAGAATTCCAATCCGAGCACTCGGCTGATGGGAATCGTGCAGCATCATATAAGAATTTTAAAGTACAAACGCGAAGGTAAAGTAAACCGTTGCTTCTCACTGATCAAAACCATATCGCGTGCCATTGTAGATTCTCTGCGATGATTGAGACGGTTCTGCAGGAAGTGTGCTTCTTCGAATTCGTTGGCTCCACGTTTCTCATGTGCGTGCTCCAGTACAATGTTATAGTGGTACGTTTCACGCTGCTTTCAATTTCTCTTGCTCTCTAATGAATTCATAGATATTTCCATATGCCCGGTAGGACTGGGAACATAATAATATGATTGGCATCGCAACGTTCTTGATGCTACTAATGTCCTTGACGTTCAATATGTCCCTGTGGTGCTACATTGGCGATCTACTAATGGAAAAGGTACCTTCCCCTCTACTTTCATCCGCAGTATGTGGAAATTCATCAGTTTGATTTGTTACTTATCATTTATATCGTAGAGTACTAACGTTGGAATGACTTGTTACATGATCGACTGGCACCGCTTACCAGACAAGACAGTCCAGGATCTTATTTTAGTCATGGCCATGTCGAACAGCCCGATGAAAATTAGTGCCGGCAGAATAATTTATCTGTCACTGTCCACTTTCGGAAGTGTAGGTTTTTACGAACACTTTGTCTGCGAATTTCGTCTGTCGATAACCAGATCCTTCATCTTTTCAGGTTTTAAAGACATCGTTCGCGTACTTGAATTTCATCCGGAACACCGGTATATAACTTAGTAACAGTTCTGTTGTTTCTGTTATTTATATACTTAACAGTAGAATACTAAATAAAGAAGCGTTGTAAAATACTATTTTCTCATTTCTTGAAAAAAAAAAAGAAAAAAGAAAAGCCGTATCGTATGATATATGCGATATCGTGCTTTCTCATAAGAGAAGCTCCTAATCGTCGAACACTTAGGTTACTGTTTCACTTCTGTTCCGAGAGAAAGTTTCAGACTCTATAGTATCAACAAGTTTAATTTCCCACTCCCTTTAATTTCAAACGTTCGCTACATTGATAAGTGACAATCGATTTCGCAGTTCTGTAACAGATGCACGCACGCGATATCATAAGCGCAAGCTCGACAACCATGCAATCAATGTTACCCGGTGGTGGTAAACAGTTGTTTTCGAGCTGCCTACGAACATGCATCCCTCCGTTCCTAAGCACATCGATCAACCGCGAAATCCAAACTACGAGAAGGATATCGTTTACGTGACAAGACACAATAAGTGGGTCCTGAATTCTATCGGTATTTGGCCAGTGATGTTGAAAGGTGTCGGCCAATTTCTACCGAAAATCGCGATCGGTCTGTACAATTTAGTGTCGTTTTTCATTTTAATGCAGTGTGTCCTACACATTGTATTCGAGCAAAAAGATCCAGTGATGAGACTGAAGATTCTAGGCATGATATGCTTCTCTTTCATCTCTATGATGAAGTATTGGGCTCTCACAGCACGCAAGTCGAAGATCGAACACTGTATCGAGCAGTTGTACGCTGATTGGAAACAGGTCAGTTGCAAACAAGTTTATCTACTCTTACAAGTCAGTGAGTGATCCTGATGTATGGATTGCGGATTTTTATGCATTTGTAGGAAGTTTTACCCTTTCGGTACGAGCACTTTGTCCGCCGTGATACGAAGATTTTCCTTAGCGTT